TAAACTATGACCTCGAACAAGTTACTTCTCTGAGCCTCAGTTTGCTCATCTGTAAAATGGGCATAATAATAGTACTAACTTGCAGGGCTATTATGAGCAATAAATGAGTTAATAGATGTAACAGTACATAGAATAGTTCCTGGGGCATGAGTGTTTGCTATTATCACAATGGAATGGTATTTGGGAAGATAATATCTTTATATAACAAATAAAGTACAGTTCTTAAATTAGAATTATAAAATATGCTTTGAAAAACAAATATATTGGAACACTCATATAGTTTACTATTAGTTTTTAAAAATTTATGCTTAAAATAAGCCATATGATAGCAAGCATTCTATCAAACCACATTTCCTATTCTATAAAAGTACAGCATAAATTTAAAATGTATTAGGAATATTATCTGTATGAAATCAGCAATAATCTTTATTAAAATTTTGTATGTCAAATACAAATTTTTCATATGGCATTTCCAATCCTTACAACAATATTACAAGATTGATGGTATTATACTTCTTTTATGGATGAGGAAATTGATATGTAGAGAAGTTAAAGTACCATGCCCAGATACTTTTATCTAGTTGTATACAGCCAGATTCTGAAGCCAGTACTCTAATCTTTTGGTTCCCAACCTGTGGGGCCTCAAAACAGTACCGTCAGTGGCCTGTTAGGGACCAGACAGGGCTGCAGAGCTCCACGGTCCCTGGCTCCAGCACTCCCCTGCCCCTCCTCCCCCAGGAAAAATTGTCTTCCATCAAATTTAGGAACCCGGGCAACACACAGCAGGAGGTGAGTGGCGGCTAGCAATGGAAGCTTACCTGCATGCTTCCCATTGTCACATCACTGCATGAGCTCCATCTCCCCAATCCCCAACTCCCCAACCCCCCCCACTCCCAAACACCCTATCCGTGAAAAAACTATCTTCCATGAAACTGGTCCCTGGTGCCAAAAAGGCTGGGGACCACTGCTGTACCCATCGTGATGCTTATACTGGAGGTTTATTAAAAATAGTATTTTATATATATCAAGACAAAGATTTATAGTTGCCTAATATATATTAGTAGAAAGACAACCATTGTTTCTAAGCTTTACTCCTTCTGTGATTAGTCTCCACTGCTTATCTCCATGCATCCAAGGGTTTACAACTGGCAGGGCAGATTATCAAAGCTTTTCTGCTCTTATATTGGTCTATATCCTTTTTCTAGGGAACTATCACCACACTTTGATTTTAACATAATGCACTTTGGGGTTTTCTCTATCACCTAAGAGACATGTGAGTATGTAGGTAGAATATCCAGGATGGGCTGAGCTGTGGAGAATACTTGGCATAAGAAAAAGACTAAAGAAATATTGGCCGATATGGGGAATATAATTTAACTGTACAGTGGAGCGTTCAGACTATCATCACCCTAATCTGAAGCTAATCTTTTCATCACTAACAGTAGGACAACCAGATATGTCTCCTGATATGATGAAATATAATGTACATATTATGTAGGATGAATTCTGGCCATTATTATTTAACTTGCATACATTAAGCCAAAGCTTGAAGAGCCAACTTCCAGTTTCCAGGAGACAGCTAAATGACACCGTAAGGAAACAACCAGACTAATCCAGAAGGTGGAATATATTTCTGGACAACTTTCCCATCAACAAGTCAGAATCATGAAAAAGAAACTGTTTTGAAATAAAACAGACTTTATGGAAATAACCACATGTAATGAGTGATCCTGGTTTGGATCCTGGTTCATTAAAGGGCAGTTTGGAATACTGGGGAAATTTAAATATGGATTGGAGATTAAATAATATGAATTATTATTCATATTATTCATAATATTATTAACTTTAAGTGATAAAGTTATTTTGCCTGTTATTTTTTAAAGATGTACAATCAAGTAAAAATATAAAAATTGTAAAAAATATATAGATAAAATAAAAAAGAAATAATGAAAGAGAAAAGTCTAGGTAGTTAATAGCATGAATGGTAATTAGAACCATAAGAATAAAGGAGAGATGCTATCACCTAGGAAAGTATATAAGGCAAGACAGAGAGATGTGAACTAGACAGATAACCAACATTTCAAAGACTACATACAGGAGTAAGAACCATCAAATTGAAGAAGAACAGCTGGAGAAATAGGGGAACCATGAGATGAATGATATTCCAGAAACCAATGGAAAAGAGAGTTTCAAGATGGATAAAGTAATTAACGATGTCAAATCCTGAGCTCAAGCTGGGTAAAGACTGAAAAGAGGCTAGCAAATAATATGTAGAAGGTCAGTGATAACTTGATTGAGAGGAGTTTCAGTAGAGTTACTGGAGCAGAAGTCAGAGGAATGAACTGCTGTTGAAGAAGTGGAGACATCATTCCTCTTTCAAAGAAAGAAGCTGGAGTTTCTCAGAAAGATGAGAACCTGTACAAATAATGCACATTGTTCAGATAATTAAATTCCTAGTGATTAATGCTAACATGCAGTAACAGATAAGTGAAAGACAGAATGTAAGGGATAGATGGTGATGGCAGAGTTGTAAAATAAAAATTCCTTTTTACATTCCTCATGTAATGCCCACATAAAATATATATCTGCTATTATATTTATAATAGTCTGTAAATTAAGTATAACTATAGTTTGTTTTTTTCTATTTGTCTCCTAAAGAAAGGTGGTATTGCAATCACATATATATATATGCAATCATATATATAAATCCACTGTATGAAATAGATTGGTTCTCTTAAAAATTAGATGTAAAATACATTTTTAGAAATCAAATAATTAAGTAAACTAGGAAAAGTATTTCTTTAAAGGAGTGATAGGACTCTTAGGTTATAATCTTCAATCAGGTCATGTCTTTTTTTTTTTTTTTTGAGACAGTCTCACTTTGTGTCGTGGCATCAGCCTGGCTCACAGCAACCTCAAACTCCTGGGCTCAAGCAATACTTCTGCCTCAGCCTCCTGATTAGCTGGGACTACAGGCACGCGCCACCATGCCTGGCTAATTTTTTCTCTATATATTTTTAGTTGTCCAGCTAATTTTATTTTTAGTAGAGACAGGGTCTCACTCTTGCTTAGGCTAGTCTCGAACTCCTGACCTTGAGTGATCCTCCCGCCTTGGCTTCCCAGAGTGCTAGAATTATAGGTGTGAACCACCACACCCGGCCCACATCATATCTTTATAAATAATATTAATAATAAATTACTTTTTTGATTTCATAACTTATAATCCTTGATTCTTATTGTTGTATTCTTATGATGTATATTATTAGCCCCATCTGACCCCAGACCATTCTGCCTGCTACCCAGGGTATTCTGCTTGGAAACATGAGTGATTTTTCCTCTGGAGGGATACTATATGTCCATAATAGTTCCAGAATAGCTAATACACAGCCCTGAAGATATTTAGCTTTCTTAATACATTCAGGAACTTTGGTTTTTCCACATTCTCAAGTTCAGCCCAAATGTCTGAATGGTCTTAAAAAAAAAAAAAAAAACTTTAAAAGCAGCAGCATATTTATAAAAAAAGTTTGAAGAAAAAATGTACTCTCACCCTAATACTAAGAAATATTATGTTAATTTTTTGTAATAATGGTTACCCAATATTGTATTTAATTTATAAAAAGTTCAGACTTTCAAGTACTGGAGTTTTCTTAAATTGAGTCAGGCCTACATTATACTATATAAATAATAAGTATTAAACACTTTCAATGTACCAAGTATTCTGCTGGGTTCTTAAGAATTACCTCATTTAATAGTTTCAGTAGCAAAACCTGTGATGTAAACACTATTATTATTCTCATTTTACATATGAGGAAACAGATTAAATCCTGCTATATCCAAACTAGTACAGATTTAAAAAGCAACCTGTCTCACAATATGCTGAATTTTAATCACACTCCAAAACAGTGATACTCAAAATTGAAGCTAAAAATGTGGTTTGTGGCCTATAGTATAGTAAATTTATAGAAAAATGGAAATGTATGGAAAAATAAAACTAAATACCAGTTTCACAACAATGTGAATATACTTAACACTACTGAACTATACAATTAAAAATGGTTAAGATGGCAAATTTTATCTTTTTTACCACAATAATAACCGATATCAATGTTAACTTTGTTTAGAAAAATATTTAAAAGATTCTTTTTAATATTTTTATATCTTTTTAATATTTTAATATGTCTCACAATAGGCATTTCTTTCTTATGCACAATAAAATGTTTAATAGTGTTCCTTCCATTATTATTTTTCTATAGCTCATGAATTAAAATCTATAGGTGTTTTATAAAAATAATCTATTGTAAGTATCCTATCGTATTGCAAATATGCAGTATTTGCAAATATTGCAAATAGGACACTTAATTGCACTTCACCCCTGAAACATAAATTTTCCAAATTCTCTATGATGAAGATGTAATTTTCATAATCATAAAAAGGTTAAAAAATTGAGACTGACATTAAATATAGTAACTGTGGCAATTAAAAAAGATTTGGGGCCCAGATTTTACATCTGAGAATTCAATGTATATCAGCTTATTTGCTCCACCTCTGTATTTCATGTTCTCTGTTAGGAAAAAGGCCAGTCTATGAATGTACAAATTGTTCTTTTTATAAGTAGAGGCAGTCCAAGAGATCCCATTATAGTATTTAGCTACCCTATATCCAAAGAACTCTTGGAAAGAAAAATAGAATGGTCTGAGGCCCTACAAAGCTTAAGAGAAACTAGTAGAAATGTACTGAGGCACACACTGTTGCAAAGATCCTTTCCAACATCCTCCGACAGCTCAGAAGACCTACCAATAGCTCAATAAATGCTATTATGGAATCTAGTCTTCATTAGGAGAGACATTCTAATGATTTTCATAATCCAAAATAAATCTAACATTATATAAAGCCATATGTAGACTATACATATAAATGACTATACTGAGATTGCATTCAGGAGGTTTAAATACATTTTAAAAACAAAAACTTCTGTTAATGTTTGAAAACAGTCTTCTCACCTGCGTGGCCTAGTCCTTGGGGACATCATTTCATTCCCAAGTATATGGTACCGTCTTGCTTCATGCAATAACTGATAACACTCAGGAGAATTCTGGATCAATTGGTCCACCTCAACTGTTTGAACAAAGTAGTTGGGATGCAACAGAGGAAGTCTCACATGTGTCAGGAGCTCATGTAACAGTGGTCTTCTTAGATCGACAGCACGATAGACCCAACGCATGACGGCTTCAAAAACCATCTCCTCTTTACCAATTACAAGTTCATCACTACAAATATAATCAATAAGTTCATCTTTGTCAAGCTCAAGAAATTCTTCATGCTGGGACACATCCTCAAAAGTCTGTAATGCAAAAGTTTTGCATTTTGTGAAGAGTGTTTTGAGTGAATGAGTATCAGCAAAGCGCTGGATTCCTAAGCAATTACAAGGATCAAGTTGCTCCTCCAAGAACTTGGCACATGCATCACGGAGAACACTAATCTGAAAGAGGCTTGATGTTTCAAAGAGATATTGTACATTCTCTGTAGTGATCTTCACCTTTCCAGTATAAACATACTGCAAAAAACATTCCATAGCTTCAGCTAAAATACCATTGATCTCAACCAACATTTCTCGGCTTTCCCTGTGATCATTACAAAACATAGCTCTGAAGTAGCTACTACAGGCTGAGAGAACAGCTCGGTGGCAAGGAAATTCTTTTCCTTCCACACAAATGATAACATCTGTGAACAAGCGGCTATCTCGGAATTCATTAAATATCTGGAGTATGTTTTCAGCATGGGATGATCCTGAAGAGAAGTCAAAAAACTCATGACCTGTCAGAGATTTAGGGTCCATTTCAAAAACTTTACGCTTAGTGGCTGGGGAATCACGCACCCCAAGATCCTCTCTGTTTAGTCTGCGTCCCAATATTAGTACCATTGTTACATCAGTTGACTATATAATTGTTGAGAAATGACTGTTGGGGATCTTCTTTATGTGGCTAAAAGTAAAAAAAAAAAAAAATTTCAATATGTAAAAAATCCAGTATTCAAATTACATAACTTCATTTTGATGTAAACACTACAACAAAATCAAACAATTAATATAGGGTACAGAGCCTTCTTTTATTTTAATAAAAACTGATAAATTAGAACAGTAGGGGTAATTTGCCATAGTATTCCTTAAGCTCCCAGCTGAAAGGATACTATATACTTTGTGGATTACTAATAACCTTCCATTTCCCCTTTTATACAATTGGGTTTCATATTACTGACTGTAAAGTCGGAATAGTGTTAGACACAAAATTTGACTATATTCCTAATCCTAATACACAGAAATCTATCCCCCATAGCAAGACAGACCACTACTGTGCCTGAATGTCAGTTTTTTGTTGTTAAAACTATATAAAGTTCAAAGTTCAGGTTCAAAAAATTCACACAAGCTATAATATTTGACTATACTTTGACTAGTGATCTAATTACTAGTATTAACAACAACAAAAATCTTTTTTTTTTTTTTGAGACAGAGTCTTGCTTTGTTGTCCAGGCTAGAGTGAGTGCCGTGGTGTCAGTCTAGCTCACAGCAACCTCAAACTCCTGGGCTCACGCGATCCTACTGCCTCAGCCTCCCAAGTAGACTCCTTCCTCCTGAGGGACTACGGGCATGCACCACCATGCCCGGCTAATTTTTTCTATAGATATTAGTTGGCCAATTAATTTCTTTCTATATTTAGTAGAGACGGGGTCTTACTCTTGCTCAGGCTGGTTTCGCACTCTTGACCTCGAGCAATCTGTCCTCCTTGGCCTCCCAGAGTGCTAGGATTATAGGTCTGAGCCACCGTGCCCGGCCAACAACAAAAATCTTAAGCCTTCTTCCTCCATACATTTTCATTTTCTCAATGTTTAAATGCAAGTGTTCAGAATGCAAAACAAAATAGCATACTGCAAGAACTAAGAATTTCCCTTTGGCTAAAATCGACAAGTACGAAAAAGTATATATGAAAATACATTCTGCTTTCTGAATCCAATGATCTCACTGTATCTAGGATTTGTTAGATAAATTTGGGGATAGCATATTAAATACTAATGAAAGTCTGATTAAACGTTATGAGTTAAGGGCCTGTCTTTTTATGCTATTTTCTGCCCCTTATTCTCATAGTTGGTTTCTTGATTTGTTGACTGACAATAGAGGTCTTCCTCTCTACTACTTTTACCCAGTGAAATACTGAAAATCTTGGATTAGAACACCTATAAAATCACCTAGTATTACACAGTCTTCAAAAGCTACAAGATACTTGTTTACTGCTTTGTACACGAGAGATTATCTCACAGATCTCTCCACGCATCACAGAGCTCTCCAAGCAGCTTTGACCTGCTGCCTCTTGGCTTTTTGGACAGCTTCACTTTCTCTAGACTTTCTGAGACCTCACCCAGTAGCTAGTCTCCTCAACAGGATCAAATATAAACTCTTCCTATTTATGACAGGATAATGATTTGTACAGGGGTATCTCAGAATTCCAAAATGCATCAAAGTGTATCTTTTGGGATTCTAGATGTAATGTATTAGCTTTTGCCTTCCCATTTTATATAATATTATATTTTAACCAGTAATGGTTAAAAATATAAAGAAAATTTAATCATATCTCAAAGTACAGTATCTAATATAGGTTCAAAATTGATTATAAATGAACTCATACATAATCAAGCAAACAGAACACAAAATTACAGACTGGATCCTTCTAAACACTTTGTAAATATCAAAGCATAATTATTGCATCAGGAAAAAGTAAGCAACTAAGTAGGTACCTCTAGACAAAACAAGCAGGAAAATGTTCATTCTAAAGAAATATAATGAGTGAAAGTTATATCTAGATGAGTTAGTGTATACAAGTGTGATCAGACTATCATCTTAACAGCTGGCTGCCAGAATACAGGATTTGTCTGGAAAAGTTCATATCCCCTTGTTTTTCTCCCTCATTTCTCCAGGAAATTTATTCCTGGAGCTATACTTTCACTTGAAAAGAATAACCTTTCTTAACAGAAAGAGTCTTCTAATTAAGGAGTACATTAGGGTTTATTTCCAACTGCAGAACTCACTACTATTGTAGACTTAGTTTGTGATTGCTAAGTAGATTTAAAATTACATGCTTTTGGCCTATGTCCCAGAAAAATGAGTGGAGATAACCTATTCTGGTATTTCAAAGACTGTAGAAAAATGCAGAAGAGGGATTGAGGCCCTCAGGAAGGACGAGAAAGGAGTGGGTAAGTATTGAGTAACAGAAAAGATTGTGACACTGCCTTCTTTTATGATCTTAAGGATAGAATTGTTCTCATTACTCTGATTGGCATAAGTGACCCTTGGTTAAAGAAAAGAAAATAGTTTAAATCCTCTAATAACAATGTTTACATAGTATATAAATAAATATACCTTTTTAGCATTTGTTGACCAAAGCCCCAGTCAAAATTTGTGTTGCTTTAATTTCCACACCTAAAATAGAGAATAGCAACATATAAATCAGATACTAATCAATTCATGTATAGTTAGCATTAATTTACTAGTATGTTGAACAAAGTTTTTAGTAAATTCTAGTTTCTGACTAGAAGTTCACTTTTGTATAAAAATCATTAATGAATAACACCTTTTTAAAGCAAATTAATAATTTTATGCTCTTTTACATACAGATAAATTTCCTTATCATCTTCCTTATTTGACAATTTTATCCTGTAGTAAGATTTGAGTGAAAAAAGAGCCAACAAATATTAATGTCAACAGAAAGCTAATGGTGGAACTGAGACGAAAAATATATACCCTGTGATAAGTCTGCATTGGATATTTGAAGAGGGTCTAGAAACCAATGCTTTATCTGGGTTTTGGGCCATTAATAATTCTAAGAGTTGTTCTATCAGAAGTAAACAGTTTAGTCACTATGTATTATATAACAAAGAAATTAATTTGAGAAAAATCTCAAGAATTCTAGGTAATTTGGGGAAAAAAATCCATTTCTTAAAATCCTTAGTTATCTAGATTTTCTATATAGAATCTCAAGCTTGTCAAATAATTTCTATATTTTAATATATAAATATATTTCACTGCTTTGTTGAACCTTATAGACTTAATTCCTATAGAAACCAGCTAATTCAGCACAATTCCTTTTGTTTGGTGGAAGAGGAGGAGAGGAATGCTTAAGAGAAAAGACCCAAACTTTGAGCTGTGCACAGAATAGCAAAACATTTAAACACAAGTGGTTCTAGTTTCTGGCCCAGATATCTTTAAATAGAACTCATAAATTCTTAACAAATTTAAGCAAATTCAGAAGTTGATCCCAAAACCAAATATAAATTACCAACTGATTTTTTTTTACATGTATACACACACACATCTCTATACCCAGATTGTGTGATGATTATGAGGTGAATGTTATCTTTTGTGTTTCCTTATTTTCAGAAATCAATCTAACTATGTGTACTGTAGGTAAGGAATATTGCAACTAGGTCAAATTAGGGGATTGTTAGCCCTAGCTAAGTAAGTGTTCATTCCCAATGGATAAATAAGATCCTAAGCCAATGTAGGCATTCAGGGCAATTCAAGAAACGTTTATAGAAAGCCTAGTTTTTGTCTGGCATTGGGGTTACAAATAATTGGATTCAGATCCAATTTTAGACTCTGTGGGGTTGGCCAAGATTAGAAACAAACAAGAACTCCAAGATTGATACTAAAATAGATTCAAATTCTCAGCGTTTCTCTAGTAGGAAACACAGGTGCAAATTGAAAATAGAGCCTCTCATGACTGATCTGGTCTAGAATTATACCTTACAGAGTAGAAAGGGCAAGGCAATTCACCTGGGCATTTCCTGCAGGAGTTTTAGGTAATACTTACCAAACAGGTAAGGGCAAGGGACAGAGGCCAGGGCACAAAGTCTGAAGGAGATGTATAGTATCAGAATTGATCTACAGGATAACTGTAGTGTAACAAGATTGTTTTTCCTTTAGAATGTAGAACTCCTATACAAAGAGGTTACTATCAGCCTTAAAGATGGTATGGATTAATGAGGGGCTTCTAAAGACTAATGAATACCAGAAAACAAAGAAAACCAAGAACATCCTGACTAGCATGGCCCCTTCACTTGTAGTAGTGAATTGCCACATGCTAGGGTCTACATTACTCCATTTTCTCAAATTTAACCTTCAATGAAGAACAACAACAGAGACAAGAAAGTTTAACCAAGAAGTTTATCTTTAAACATATATAGTAACTCAAAAAAAGGCAAGCCAAAAAAAAAAAAAATTGCAACATGGTTAATCCTTTATTTTTAAAATAACCAGAAAACTATTTTTAACAAGTTATGCAAAACCAAGCAGTTTTTATACATTTCAGATATTTTTGCCCCAATTGTCTCAAAATCTAGTTTATTTATTTGATGACCACTTTTTTAAATTACAAATTTGCACTGCTAGATTTTCAATTTAAAATGTTACTCTGGAACAGTGGTTCCTGAACCATGTTTTACAAATATAATATTTAAATTCCAGGTATCAAGCTATTTTCAACATGTCCAATTTCTTAATGTTACCACCAAGACTCTACCCACCATAAGATAACACAAACCACCTAAAACCTCAAGTTCCTTTGGCTAGAATTATAGCAACTAGTGATTACTCCATGTTTACTAGAATCTCAGATGGGCAATATGACTTTAATCAATGAAAGAGAAATAAAAGAGGTATCTGGTGATAAAAAAAATTTAGGAGAGGTTAAATAATGTGTCAGACTGAACAATATGGTTCTATATCTAAAAAGGAATACTATTTCCTCCTAACCTCAGGGGGAAAAAAATTGAATTTTTCCAAAGTGTTTCTTTTCCTTGCCTTAAAACTTTTGCTACTGATATTCCCCAAACCCTTAAAAAAATAATAATTAATCAGACATCACACCTGGCATATCGAGCTGCCCTATGAAGCCTACTCATGCTTCTCCTCAGACTTGACATGTAAACATAATGTCATTTGGTTTTATCCTGTGAATATGTAGTTTCTTTGGGGTATTTAAGGCATTATTTTATTTAATAATTGAAAGGCCTATAGATTTATGATATAGTTATGTTTTCTGTCAGCAAAATTGCTTGGAGTTTTTAAAATTAGAATTAAATCTGCAAGGATGACACGAGGTGCTCTCACTTGAACAAATTTGAGATCCAGTATTCTAGATGACTTCTCTATGTATAAAAACACTTGTAAGTCAGTGACTTTTATTTACCTTAGTGGTGACTCAAATCAGTTACAGCAATAACTTTTAGAAACCTCAGTAAAGAGTAAAGCTATCAATTTTAAGTCTTTAAGAAGTTTGAAAAGTTATAGCTCTTGGGTGATGAATTACAAACTCTTTAATTAAGAAAAAAGTTTAGCTATGGTGTTTTTAATATAAGAAAGAACAGGGGTTTTAAAATGTCAACAGCTGTCAAGTGGTTACATACCCTGTAGTTGTCAGTCACAATAGAAATAAAATCATACAAAATGGATCGTTCATATATACTTGTGAGGATATTTTATCTAAATGTAAATTAAAATTTACATTTTTCATTATATAGTTAATTCCTAAATTGAAAAAAGATGTTCCAAATTTCTAGGTAAAAGTATATACAAAAATAAATGCAGTGACTTATTTGATAAAGAGTATTTATTCTTCACAGGCTTGACCTTTGGGTTTTAATGAAATGGCAGAAAAACAAGGAAGTTAAAAAAAAGTTATTGAAAAAGCATTAAGGTTTTAACAACTTGGACAAAAGCCAGGCGAATTTAAGTTAAAGCTAATAGTCAGCCCTAACTCAGAATATTATGTCTTCTTCCTGTTTAGAAACTAAGCCCCTGGCTTTGTTTGAACAAGCAGGTCTTTACTGAGTAATGGTTTTATTTTTTTAAAAGATTCATTAGAGGGTTCCATTTTATACTTATTTACATACATTAAAATGCTTTCAAATGCTCCAATTGCAGGAGCTGCTCATTTTGGTGTAGCCATCTCCACTTTAAGTTTAAAAATATGTTAAGAATGCATAACCAATAAGAACTGCTCATATTTAATTCCTGCTTCACCCAGGGCAGCTCCACCTTTCTACATCTACAGAAAATCTGATAAAACCCAAGTACCCTATTAATTCAAGAGATTAGGAAAACCATCTTCGACATACCATGGCTAAAAATGTTTGATCTTGCAGATTTTATTACTGTCACCTTAATCAACAATTTTAAAACGACACATTTTGCAATTCGCTTCTCAAAAAATTTGAATTACCTCGGGATTAATACATAAAAGAGTGTGAGCTAGAATCCCCCAAACAAGGAAAACAATTGATCTAAGCCAGAGTATAGAAGAATCTTTAACTTTTAGGAGAGTATCCTCATACTATCTTTTTTAAAAAGTAGAAATCTACTTTTAAATCGTAGCCTAGAACAGGCAAATTTTAAATATATTTTATGAACCTAATAAAAACCAATCTCTTAGCTGGTGGCCCTAAACAGTACGTAGCCGCAAATACGACGACCGTTAGAAAGAGCAAGTGATTAATTATTGAAATTTACTGAAATCATGTGAGGATAGTCACAGCCTCAGGGGCGACTGTGAGGCTTCCTAAGAATGCGGCCTTATGGTCTATACTTAGCTATGTAAACCCTGTTTGCAGAACTGGCAAGAACAAAACACAGGACTTCCTTCGCACCACCCAGTTAGCTAACGCGACACCATTTAAAGGATGCAAATTTTCCGGTGCTCGGAGGGCGGACCGCGGCTGCAGGCCGCAGCGTGCCCAGAACTGCCCACACACTCGGGCATCAGCGGCGGCGGCCGCGAACGCTCCCCGCAGCCTGCTGCCCGGCCGGAGCGCGCGCCGCCTAGCTCCCCTAAGGGCTGCAGCCGCACGAGCAGCCAGGGCGCGCGCTCCCGCGCGTCCTCCAGATCACCTTCAAGGGGGCGGGGAGAGTGCCGAGGCAGGCCCACCTAGCGACACGACATCCGCCAATAAAAACTCGGAGCCCGCCCGTCGGGTCCCGCCCGCAGGCCGCCGCAGGCGCCCAATCGCGGCCGCATTAACAGTCTTCCCCCAGGGTGTCCAGAACTTGGGGGCAGGCACGTTAGGAACTAAATTAAGAAACCAAGTCCTGGAGTGGTAGGAAGGTGGGGAGGTTAGGCGGGGACTAGGCCGGCTGAACGCCCGCTCCCCCGCCCGCCGCGCCTCCCCGGGGACGGCTGCTGCAGGCCGGGTGTCGCGATCGCGGTAAACAAAGGCTCCCAGGGGGCGGGGGTAACGGTCAGGTGACAGTGCCGAGCACATTTCGCAATCCCTTTAATGGGGCTTCTCTGGCCCGCGCTCCTCAGACCCCACCATGACCCTGTCAGTCATTCCCAAAGGAACCAACGGTCGCCCCACCAAACGCGAAGGCTGGATTGGAGATCGTCACACTCTCGGCGCTCCCTGACATAAAAAGCAGCGCCCTGTTCGAAGCCCATTGGCAACAAGCTGGGCCCGTCTCCCCAGCCCCGTCCCCCAGCTGCCCCCGGTCCCACGGCGGCGAGATAACCGCGCCTGCTGCTACCCCCGGCCCTGGCGGCCACCTCTGCCACTCCGCCCTCGGCAGGCCGCGCCAGCCGCGCCACGGTTCCGGGGCAGTAGCGTCAGGAGGCGGTGGTGCCTTCCCTCAGGACTGTCGCTGTCGCGCCGGGGTTGAAGACCCCCAGGTGATCCCTGGAGGCCCCTCGCCTCCGAATACGGCCCTGCAGCCCCAGCTGCAGTCTCTCTTCGGGCTCCCTGTCTTGCCGGCCGCCGCTGGCTTCCCTCCCGCAGACACCCCCGTGGACCGGACCTCGCCGCCCCTCCGCCCCCGAGGTTTCAGGCTCCGGCCGGTTCCTCGCCTTTCGACCGGTCCCAGAGCTGTCATCCCCGGGTACCTCTCAGCAAAGGCTGGAAGCGGCCAGTAGCGGCGGGCCCCGCGGTCACTCAGCGGCCGGCGGCGCAGCGCACTCTCCTGCGCCGGCCTCTCCTCCAGCCACCAGTTTTTGCAGCAGCTCACAACAAAGGAAACATGTGACCGTCCGGGCCAAAACACTGAGCGTCACCGACCCCTGGCCAATCCGGGTGGGCGTCCCCCGCCCCGGGGCACTCTGGGAGATGTAGTTACCACTCTCCGGGTGGCCTCCAGGGCTACCTGGGGTTCCCGCTAAAGGGCGGTGTCAGGTGCGGAGTGGGGCAAGACCGCTCGAGGGCTGCTGACTCGAAACTAGGTTTTAGGTATAGACAGGTTAAGGAGATGTATCCTGTGTAAGGAATCTAAGGAGAAACCAGAGTCGTATGTTTATTGGCCTCAAAGACCCCCACCACATCCCAAGGCAAAAGCCCATGACCAGGAATTCACAGAACCTTAGAGTTTGGGACTAGGATTAGAGATCTTTTTATTTGATCCTCTGATATACAATGGGGAAATCTGAGGGCCTCACGGGTGAAAGGGACTAGAACCCTGGTCGATGGAAGGCTCAAGGAAAATCACCTTTTTCTCTCTTTTTTGGTAAATCTGTTAATGTCACTGGCATCAAATACTAGCATTAAATCCTTTTGGTGTTAAACGTACACACAGATCAAACGAAGTTGTCACAAATTCCTATTTTCCAAGGCAGATAGATTCCCTAAAGGACATTATTTTGTTGTTTTGTTCCTGAAAATATTTTGTTCAAGGTTGTGTATACCTCCTGATCTTGCAACCATTTGGTTTCTGTTACCAAAATTATTAATAAAACATCTTTCTCTTCTACACGTCACGAATACAGTCATGCCTCTATTAAATAAGGGAGTGTGTTCCAATGATCGGAGGTGGAAATAATATGGAAGGCCTGTATCCAGGCCTTTTAAACATGCTTTTTAGGCTTCTTTTTTGTCTCTTTTAAACATGAAAATGCCTGCCACTTATTGAGTACCTACTAAGTTCCAGGCTCACGACTAGACACTTCACAATAACCCAGCAAGATAGGCATTATCCCATTTTACAGGTGATGAAACTAAGCCACAGAGAGGATGGAGTTGCCCTGGTTGCTCAGTTATTAAGTGGTGAAGCTAGAGTTCACACAGAGTTTTTGAAAATAAGTTTATTTACATTAAAATATTATATAAGCACACAATTAAGTTTCTACAAAGTTTATTTACAAAAGTTTAGTATTACAAGGCTAATAGTGAAACAGTAGTCCCGTTTCCTACCTGTCCTCATTCCTGATTCTCCACAGGTAACAACAACTTTCAACTATTTGAGCTGTTTCTTCTGGTACTTACATCTGTATTTCCAAATAATGTATGGCTATTTCCTACCAAGGAAGCTGTCATCCCTGTTTCTCATCCCTGCAATATTATTATATAATCTAGCTAAATCATTACTTATTGTTTATGCTAGTGAAACTGTGTTTATTAGTCATCGTTGAGTCAATTAGTATACAATTTCCTTTCCTGTATGGTTTTTTGTTTTCCCTGGAGTTAGTTATAGTCCTTGTTTTTGTTTGCTTATTTTATTATATATCTGTCACATTCCGTCTGAGTTTCTTTAAAAGAATGATAAAATGCTTTCAATATAATCTTCACACAATCAAACTCATTAGATAATCCATCGTATATATGTGCATATGTGCCTATGAAAATATGTATGTCTATATCTGTAGATATAGATGTTTATTTTTTTCATTTTAGAGCCATTTGGTCCCCAGTTCCTTTTTGGGAAGCTTCTCTTTGGGATTGTTGCATAGCTATTGTCTTGGGACTTCCTTTCTCCATCATCCTAGGGTTTTCTTCTGTGGTCTCTAGTGTTGCCTTGAATTTTGGTGGATCACATTCTTCATAAGCAGCTCCCTAAGAAAAAGTCCATGGGAAGTAAATCTTATTAGCCCTCTTCAGTTTTGTTCTTCTTTGTGGCTTAAGATAGAACTTCTGGACTTTGGAAGTTGATCCTTGCAGTTTTGAATAGTCACACCTGAGTTGGATGTCGTCATGCTTTAACTTGTTCACTACCTGTTTACATTTATGCATATATTCCTTTCATATGGCATAGCCCAAAGGTTAAGTCCTCCTGAGTAGGCATATGATGGTTATAGGAAGATCTTGACCTGACACTTCAGGGTTCTTTGCATATTTACACTGGGCAAATTTGGTGACGTAAGAGACAGAATAAGGCTGTCCTTGGGGTTCAAGCCAGGTCAGGGCATGCACTTATGACTTACACTTTACAATGACTCAGGGAGGAGTGTCTGGGGATGTGTGCAGGTACATAGCACCACGCTGCGTCAGTGCCCTGGGGTGAAAGACAGGCAACTAAAAGCACTCAGTGGGTCATCACTGCCTTCATCAAGTCCCATCTCCCTTGCAGTGCATACACAGTCCTTCCTGATGCACTCTAGGGCCTACCTCTGACACTTCAACCCAGCCTCAAGGAACTACCCACAATTGCCCAAAGGACTCTTGCTCTCTCTCTCTCTCTCTCTCTCTCTCTCTCTCTCTCTCTCTCTCTCTCTCTCTCTCTCTCTCCAGGCGGTTCCCATCCATAGCCTGCTCTCTTTGCGTCTTATGCCCCCACCTTCCCTTCGCCCCATTTGCCAGGCTAACTCCTGCTCTTCCTTCTAGGAGGCAGCCTGTGAGTCTTCTTTCCTGGGGAACTCTCATTTTCCCCCATTGCCCTTACCTCTTTCCCAGCAGTTATCACACTAATTGTCCAGGTTTATTTATGTGCCTTTCCAATTGAGTACTCTCTGAGATTTCTGAGGTCAGGGATCACCTTACTCATTTTGTATTCCATTGTACCTAGTAGTTGCTCAGTAAGTACCTGTTAACTGATATGATATTTACTTTTTGAAGTTAAGGGGACCTGAGAGAGAAAAATAGTGCCAAAGGCCGGGCGCGGTGGCTCACACCTGTAATCCTAGCACTCTGGGAGGCCAAGGCAGGCGGATTGCTCAAGGTCAGGAGTTCAACACCAGACTGAGCAAGGGCGAGACCCCATCTCTACTAAAAATAGAAATTAATTGGCCAACTAAAAATATGTAGAAAAAATTAGCAGATCATGGTGGCACATGCCTATAGTCCCAGCTACTTGGGAGGCTGAGGCAGGAGGATTGCCTAAGCCCAGGAGTTTGAGGTTGCTGTGAGCTAGGCTGATGCCACGGCACTCTAGCCTGGGCAACCGAGAACCAAGTGAGACTCTGTCTCAAAAAATAAAAAAAAAGAAAAAGAAAAATAGTGCCAGTAGATCCCCTGGGATCCACCTGGGACTTGCTTGCATGATGAGGTCCTCAGACTCTTGGGGGAGGTAGGTGCAGGGTGATCAACCACCACTCTGAGAGAGAGGAGGGGAGGGAAGGGGGACCCACAGGCAGGCAGCCTTGGAGACAGGCAGCCCCATCACACAGGCAGAGGCCTACTGGAGGCTGTGCGGGATCTTCAGGCCGGCTGCATATGGGTGGTTTGGCGTTGGCAGAGGGCCCTGAGAGTTACGCCTACTCCACAAGTCAGTAAGGATGGCTGGATAGCAGCCTTTTCCTCAGCTGGGGCTGGGGTAGAAGCAGAGGTGTCGAGTCCAAGGTGAATCTGCTTGAGTGAGATTAAGCCATAATGTGATTTATTTGGGGCAATGTTTACAATCCAGCTCTGCCTAGCCATTTGAAGGAGGCAAATACTTGGAGTTGGGGTAGCCAGAAGGTCCTTGGACCTATTTCCTCTCCTTTCAGGAATTTAGAAAATTGTGCCATAGTGTGTCTTCTTGCAAATCCCACACGGCAGTGTTTGTTCTGCTCTCTGTAGTACCCATGACAGTCTTTAAGGTTTGAAGGTGGCCAAGCATCCATAGTTCCACCAGTAATTCTATTTTTCTCCGTCCAACCTTCCCCCTTCCCCATGCAGACAGTGGTCAGGACCACTCCCTGGACACACCAAATATGTTTAGACCTCCCTGCCTCTCCTCTTGGCCTCTAGCACTTGGAGTTTCTTCTGTCCCCAATTGTAGTAGAAATGTTGGTCATAAGACCCATCTCTGATTCTCCCCTCTCTCCCCCACCTGCTGTGAAGCGATGCACGCCTTCCAGTCCCATAGAATGTGACACTCACACTCTGCTTACACCTGACACCTCCTTTGACAAGCTTCAGGCTCAGTACTTTGAGCTCCTCTCCTACAACAAATCCCAGCTAAAAAGCACTGGTGAATGGAGACTTTACTGATGGTTTCAGGAAGAGAGAATGACATGGCATCTCACACTGCAAAACTCCATGGCAATCTTCTTTAAATGCCTCTGCTCCCTCACCTCAGCTGCTTTGCTTTTCCCCTCTCACGACCTCTCTCTGGGCCTCTCTCCAGCCACATGCTTGGGTTTCCTCCCTTCCTGTGGTCTCTGCCACCTTCCTCCCAAATGCACTCTCTCCTACCATCTCTTTTTCAGTAATTTGCATTTTCATGCTCATCACCTTTCTAACAAGATAGTTCCACTCTTCAGAAGATGGAGAATGTCATATATAACGAATTATCTCTGCCCACCCCAGGCCACCCCATTTCTTCCCACAGACGTTTCACATCTCAGCAAGTCTGCCCCACAGTACCCACCTCTGAGTGTTGAGTGAAGGAAGAGTAAACACAGTTCACTGTTTGCTCTCAGCACCTGACCCTCTCCAGTCTTGTGGGCCGCTCCCTCTCTCCCTCCTTTTCTGGTGAAGTAAGGCGTGACTCATCTCTGCAGCTCTTTTGGTAGCAGAGGTCCGGGTCTCCCTGGCTATGTAGATACCAGGAAAGATTTGAATTGCCCCTCTGGGGTCCCACTCCCACCCCAGCCCAGCCAGTTATAGGCCCCACTAGGCTAGCCAAAGCTTGAGATCAGATATACCAGCATTAGATTTCAGCAAGGCAAGAGGTAGCTGGAAATTTTTTCATTTCTAGATCTGGGGAAAGAGGGAAGTTTTCTGCCATGTAGAAGGCAGGCTCCCCCTAGTCTCTCACTGAGCTTCTGCCCTCATAGGTGCAGTCTGCCACAAGGTGTGCTTCCTCACAACTGAAGGCCACTGAGGGGCCTTTCCATCT